GAACTGCTTGCCTCCTGGGAGTCTGGAATGTCAGTAAGTTCCAGACAGAGGGTGCCCATGTGACCAGCCCTTGATGAAAACCCTGTGGGCCGGGCAGGCAACAGTTCAGACACTGTCACACCTTGCTGCACATCCTGTGTGGCTCCATGGGGAGAAGACCCCGGGAGTTGCTCTGGTCTCCCTCATACTCTGCCCCATGTGCCTCACCCCTTGCTGACTGTGCTCTGTGCACCACGCTGCAATGCATCATGGCACGAGTGTGAGTGTGTGCTGATGCCTATGGGTCCTATTAGAGCAGGGTTCCCCAGCACTTGGGCCGTGGACCGGTACTGGTCCGGGGTCTGTTAGGAACTGGGGCGCACAGGAGGGGAGTGGTGGGTGGGCGAGCGAGGGTTCACGTGTGTCTGCAGCTGCTCCTCAGCGTGAGCATCACCGCCTCAGCTCTGCCTCAGATCGCCAGGCGTTAGATGCTCATAGGAACACTGGTCCCTGGTGCCAGAAAGGTTGGGGACCGCTATCCTAGAGTATCATTGAGCCTGGAAGGGGTTCTGAGGACGCTAACATACCCTATCTGCGTTTGTCTACATGTGTGGGTAGGTGCCACATGATGGATACAGATCCCTCCTCCAGGAAGGACTTGCTGCCTTAGCCTAGCCCCGCCCGTCCGTCAGAGGCAGCCTTCAACCCCTCGGGTTGTATTAATACCGAACGTGTACGTATTTTTTTCTGGTCGTTATTTTCTAAACAACACAGTAGAACAATTATTTGTGTAGCATTTACGTTGTATTAGGTATCTTAAGTCATCTAGAGAGACTGAAAGCATACGAGAGGACGTGTGGAGGTTACATGTGAATACTGTGCCGTTTTATATAAGAGACTTGAGCATCCTCCGATTCTGGTATCTGCAGGGAGTCCTAGAACCCATCCCCCATGGATACCGAGGGATGACTTTATGAAGCAAACGTATATCCACGTAAAAACCTGCACACAAGGGTTCACAGCGGCATTATTCATCACAGCCCAAAGTGGAAACAACCAAATGTCCACCAGCTGATAAGTGGATAAACCAAATGTGATACTGCACACCCTAAAATATTTATCATTCAACCATAAAATGGAATGAAGTACTGGCATATGCTACAACATGGATGGACCTTAAAACCACCACGCTGAGGGAAAGGAGCCAGGCACAAAAGGCCACTCCATCTGTCTGCAATGTCCAGAACGAGCACGTCCACAGAGACAGTAGATCAGTGGCAGCCTGAGGCTGGAAAGAGGGGGGCTGAGAGGAACCCACTAGAAGGCACGGGGTTTCCTCTCGGGGTGATGGAAATATTCTGGAATTAGTGGTGATGGTACATGAATGTACATGGACCCACTGAACTGCACACTTTAAAACAGAATTTTATGTTACATAAGTTTTCTTCCTCGATTAAAAGATTGCAAACCTCCCCAAACTACATAAAGTGCTTAGAACGGAGGGCTTGGTCTTGAGTAAGCATTCAGTAAATGTTAATACTTTCAGTGCAGTTATTATTTTCCTCATTCTAACAAAGTCTCTGACTCTGTTTTTTGACATCCGACTTCTGACGGCTTTTAAGCCTGGCCTTGCCTCCTCCCTCCCGCCCCAGAACTGCATGAGCTGATGAGAAAGCCTGGGGCTCCTTCCTTTGGTGCTGGTGGGAGACGAACCACAGGAGGCCCTGGCCCGTGTGTGTGAACCCTCGCCCTGGCCCCGCCCCTCAACCGCAACAAAAACCCAGGTCAGGCGCCTTTCTTTGCTCTCAGTGTAGTTTAGACCTGCTCTCCCAGAAACGACTATGCAGGCAATAAACCTTTCACATCCTCTTTGTGCGAGTGACATCATTAATCTCAACATTCAAACCAAACTGGGGCACTGTCCATCCTGTCTCTGAAGAGTAGACAGAATCATCATTCACCTCATCATTCGGCCACACTGGGCCTGCACTTCCACATGACACCAGTAGGTGGAGCTGAAAAGTGTGCCCCTCCAGTTGGCCACAGTCCCCACCACTCCAAACTGCCTTACTCCCAGCCTCCTGCAACCATTTACTCTACCTGCCCAGCCCCTGCAGTTGGACAGGTCTGTAGTCTCCAGTCTAAGAGAAATCTGTGATGAGGCAGGTCTGTGGCTGGGATATGGCTTCCATTTCCATTCTCCAAAAGGGGTCCCCCTCCCCTTCCCCTGGCTCCAAGACAGCCCGGCCCTGCCCAGCACCGGCCCACCTGTGGACAGAGCGTACCTTCATAGAGAATGCCCTGGCTGTCCCTGGTCTGGAGGGGTCCCAGCTTCCAGTGAGTCCCACTCTTGTCTATTACCACTGTCCCTGTGGGTAAAGCCTGGAGTGAGGTGGTCACCCGGCTCCGCTTCAGTGTCTGAGGGCTGTGCTTGGTTGTCTGCGGGCTTTGTTTGGTTGTCTGCGGGCTTTGTTTGGTTGTCTGCGGGCTGCTTTTAGGCGTTGACGGTCTGCTCCAGGACCCTGCAGGAGAATGGTCAGAATAAGGTGTCCAACAAAACTTCCTGGGACCTTTCATGGGTCAGGGCCTGTGTGACAAAGCTGGGGACCCAGCCATGAGTCAGGCCCGGGCTCTTCTCTTGGGAGCCGCTAATTTGGTGGCAAAGTTGGACCTGGACATGGCTGGTCAGAACTGAGTCTGAGAGAGGGCAGTACAGAAGAGTATGAGAAAGAAACTGGAGAAGTCAGAGGAGGCTTCCTGGAGGAGGGGACATTTGAGTTCAGTCTTGTTGGATGAGTAGAAGTTTGCCAGGGGGGCAAAAAGTCTCCAGACATTCAACTAAAAGCATCCTAAAACAGGATCTGGCCTTATGCTGAGTATAAAAAGGGCCCAGAAATTTGTTAGACCGAGGCCTTGTCCTTGAATGGTGTCCAGACCGCAAGAGAATGTGGTGGTGGTGTTAAGGAGACAGACAAGGACACAGGAAAAGCTGGTACCTACTGCATTCCTCCCACCCACCATCTACCCACGGCACAGAACAGCAAGGGGCAATGGGGCCTGGAGAATGACGAAGGACAGAGACGAGGCACTGAGGGCTGCGACTTCAGATCTGAGGGTCCGGTGGTAAGGAGATGGGCGCACACGGTCAAGCTTCCCACGCTCACTGGCTGGCATGGGGCACACACAGATGAGCGTACCTCGTCCCTGCCTCTGAAGGCCTCTCAGTCCAGCAAGTAGGGCAGAAAGGGACAAGGAGCCTGGGGGGACATGTGCTTAAATGGGAGTGGCATTGGCACGGAGGGTGCCCAAAGAGGACAAAGAGAGGCTCTGGAGGGAGATGAGGTGGCCTTGATCTAGCCTGCGGGCCCAGGAGAGGCTTCCTAGAGACCTGACCCCGAGTACAGGAAAAGTGGCAGCGTGCCAGGCAAAGGGAGGTAAGAGCGCCCTGGGCCGAGGGCATGGACTTGGCAAAGCCCAGAAGCTGAAGACCCTAAAAAGTATTTCCAAAAAGTGAGTTTTCTGTGCACGAGGCTGTGGTTAGAGCTAAAACAGGAACCAGACCCGAAAGTCGCAGATGCTAGGCTGAAGAGGGTGCACTGCGGGGCGATGGGGACAGTAGGGGGCTATGAGCAGGGAGTGGTGGGGTCAGCCCCAGCTGTGAAGAGATGGATTGGAGGAGGAGCCTAGAGGCTGGGAGGTGGGGAGGATGCTGGGGTGAGGGTCCAGGCAAGTGTAAGTGATGCCTGAGCAGGGGAACGGGCCCTAAGCATGGTCAGATGACCTGGCTTTTCACCATCCAGAGTCAGGGCGATGGATCCGAACTCTTACCTTTGGGCTTCTCACGGGGACTCAGGTTATCTTCAGACCCAGAACTGTCATAGTTTGAGAAGAGGGATGATGAGGGAGAAGTGACACAGCCGGACCACTTCACTTTCTTGGGAGAGATTTCAGAACTGGTGTCCCTCTCTTTCTTTGAGCCTAGAGAAAGGAAGACCAATGCAGACTAGCGTGACGAAGGCCTTTCCAGGACCCGCTGAACCAGAAACTCTGACCGTTCTCTTCCTTTTGACCCTCACGGCCAAGTCTTGCTGCTTTTATCACCTAAACATCTAAGCAAACTATTCCTTTGTTTCAGTTATTCTTTCCCCCAGGGGTCTTGCCTCTCTTTTGTATCTTCAATCACTTTGACACTATGTGCTCTCTTCTGGGTAATTTCCTCAGACCTGTCTTCCAGTTCACTATTCACCCTTCAGCTGTGTCTAGTCTACAGTTTAAACCATCCAATGAGTTTCTGAATGAAATGGTGACATTTCTTTTGATCATCATAGGTGTTACTTGGTTCCTCTGCAAATGTGCCGTGTCATTTCCAACTATTTTTGTTCCTTCACTATATGTTCAATTTCTTCCTTTATGTCTTTAAATATATTAAAGGGGTTCTGTACACAGTCTCGTCTGTTAATTCCAAGATCTCTGGTCAATGCGGGTCTGATTCTGGATTTGTCATTTCTCCTGACAGTGGTTTGTTTCCACGTATCTCTGTTGACTGACTGGGAGCTCATGTGGCCGTCAAAATTCTCTGAGGTCTGTCTTTAAAGTGTGTTTCCTAAAAAGATATGCCTCAGCTGGGGAGGGGCACCCACACCTCATCATTTTACACTTTCCTGCCTTTTTTTTTTTTGGCGAGGGGAGGGGGGCACACAGTTCAGCATGAACTCTGGCCCCAAACTGGTGAGAATGTGAGGTCCTGGTTAGGAATCCTCAGAGAAGACCTTCTTCCTTTATTCACCTACAACCAAGGCCGAGACAGACAAATGTCTCTGCCAATTTTCTGAGTGGGGCAATTTTTTGTTCTAGCTTACAGACTGAAGAGTCCCAGGTTTTACGGGTTTCCACTCACACCTCCTGTGCTGATCGGGCCCTAAGTTTTGTTTCCTTTACCCCATTAAGACCCAGACTAAAGGCCACTAATGACCAGCAAGCAGCCCGGGACCAACAGCATTTGCTCGGCCCTGTGGGTCTGTGATTTCTTATCCTTTCTCACTTCTATGGAATTCCCTTATTATTCTACCACGCAGCCCGATGTTTTTTTAAAAAAGAGATTCTTTACATTTAATCTAGCATTTTGTGCTATGCTGAACCATAAAGGGCTTTTACCTATCAGCTGGTCTGCTATATTGTGAAAAACAGACGTCGTCTTTCAACTGACACCACCTCAACCAGCGTGGTTATTCCCCAGGCTCCTGTTAACGGCCTAACTGGTTTCCATGCCTCTCATCTACTTTCCACACATAGCAGCCAGAGAGGTCTTTCTGAAATGCAGATCGTGCTGTGTCTCCTATTTGGTAGAAACGCTCCTAGAGCTGCGCGGTACGTCAGTGATCACTGGACACCCTTCCCATGATCTCCAAGGCCCCGCCTCTCTGTCCCCATCGGGATGTCCTCCTATATTTCTCCAACACGCATGGCTCCTCCCACCTCACGGCCTTCCTCATACCATGTCCCAATGGTATGAGGAAGGAACACTTGTTCTGATCCCCTCACGTCGTCCCCTACTCTTCACCTGGCTAACTTTTATCATTCCCAGGTCTCAGCTCAAATATTACCCACCTCGGGCAGCCTTCCCTGATGTCCACAGAACATATGTCCCTTACGTGTTCTGTGGACCATCCACTTCCCTTTGCTACCGCGAACTCTACAGGCAACTGCTTAGTCAATGTCTGTTTGCCCTACTGGGCTCCAAAAGCTCTGAGAGACCAGAAACCAGGTCCATCTCATCTGTTACTACACAGCACCAAGCGCAGAACAGATGCTCCATATATGTTCGTTGCCGATAACTGAGTGAGTGAATAATGAACTGGCCCTAGGCTGGCATTAGGAAAGACTGGAGTTAAACTCAGATGCTGAACTCAGGCCAAGGCAAATTCTCTTGGCATCTGCCTGGGATGGAGATGCGACACTGGAGATGGAGAAGCCATCTTGAAAATTCAACGCAATAAGCATGAGAACAGAAAGCATATACTGAGGATGACTGAGTGGAAAAACAGGAGGAGTCTGGGTCCCTTAGGGCATCATGGGGACACTATCCCTGTATTGGAGTGTCCCCTCCGGACTTTGTTAGTAAGAAATATAAACCCATTTGTTTAAAACCTTTAGCATGAGTAGTGTTTTCTGTTACCTGTAGCCAGACACAATCCCAAATGATAAAATAAGTGTTGCTGAACTTCCTGCTACGTATCCCAACTTTCTTTTGTGGGCTTCAGATGAGTAAATCCATTTTGATCTATCACTGTAGGATCTGTGCTTGGCCTTGCCATTGGCAAGGACCCATGCCTGATATCTTGTTCAGTCAGTCAGTCGATCAATAAGATTTCTCAGCACCCAATTCTGTGCCTGGAACAGTCCAGGGTGCTGTGCTCACAGCAGGTTACAAACCACAATCAGCACAGCCTACAAACCATAGTAAATTTCTGGCCTTTTGGAGCTTAAAGATGAAAAACATCATAAATAAGTAAAATACTGCATTTACTGCTGGCAAGTACCAAAAGGCAATATAAAGCAGGAGCAGGGGACAGGGACTGTCACATGTAGGGATGATGTGAATTCAATCAGAGATGTCAGGGAGGGCCTTGCTGAGAAGGTGACAACTGAATAAAGACCTGAAGGAAATGGAAGAGTGGATCACGCACCAGATGAGGGAGAAACACCCAGCGAGAGAGAACAGCACGTGTGATGGCTCAGAGGCCCAGGCACTCCTGAGGTGTGGAGGAAGAGTGAGGGGGCCTGGGTGGCTGGAGCCACGTAAGCAGTGGCAACAAGGTCAGGTGAGCTCTGAGAGACAACGGGGACCCAATCGCGTGGGGCCTGACCTGGCAAGATGGTGAGCAGAGGAATGACAGGTGTGACTTTGTTTTAACAGAGTCTTGGGTGAAGACACCCGTAGGGGATGGAGCAGCAGCGGGGAGACCAGGGGGAGGATTCTGCAACAATCTGGTGACAGGTGAAGGTGGGATGGACCCGGGTGGTGGCAGAGGAGGTGGCAGGAAGTGGTCTGATTTGACACTGATTTTAAACGGAGGGCTGACAAGACATGCTAGAGCGTCGGAGTTGAGGGGTGCGGGGAGAGGACACAGGATGCCCCCACGGTCAAGCGCGAGAACTGCCGTTTACCACGATGGGGAAATCTGTGGACGGGCAGATGCGGGGGCAGTCACATCGGAAGCTCAGCCCTGGGCAGTGGAGACATGTATGGGACATCCAATAGATGTCAAGCAGGCAGTCTGACGTATGAATCTGGATTTCGGGGGGAGTCCAGGCTGTAGTCAGAAATATGTAAGCTGTCAACTCGAAAGCCATGAGATTGACAAACTGGGTACAGAGTGAGCCTGAGCTCCGGGCTTCTCCTGTGCCAATGCAGAGTCAAACAGGCTGCAAAGGGCTCTGCGCCCCCTCTGCAAACACCCGCGCCATGCGCCTCACCCCTCCTCCAGGTACAAGCTCAAGGCCCTGGTCCTTACCTCGGAAGGATGACGAAAGTGGTCTGACAAAGGTCTGGGATCCCACATGCTCCTCGGCAGGCAGAGACTTCCCACAGTAGGGACAGAACTTGAATGCTGCTTTGATACTCTTGCCACAATCTGGACAGAAGGTGACCATGCTAGAAAACAGAAGTAGGGGCTGGAGAGAACAGGAAGTGGGAGGAGAAGCTTAATACATTGCCGAGGAAAGTGATCACTCCCAGATTACACTCTCTCCGGAAGCTGCTAAAAAGAGTTTCCGCCCACTGCATCCAGCCTCTAGCTCTCTGTCTCTCCCTAATGGCCCAGGACAGGAAGGAAGCAGAACAAAGGTACAAAGCTCACAAAAGATACGAGAATGCCTTGAGGTCAATGAAAATTATGCTGGAGAGCTACTCCAATCACAGGCACCCAGAGGGTCTTCGACAGCATCTGTGGTCATTTCTTTCTTTTTGAAATCATTAGTTCACCTTTATTGAAGACCCATGGTTACTAATATGAATATCAATTACAATATCAATCTCAAATGTGACAATTTTATCCTCTATACTTTTTTATTTTTTTTTTAATAGTTTCAAGTATACAACATATCGGGTAGATGTCTATATAGTTCATAAAACAATCCCAACTGCTCCTTCCCTCCCCTGGCCCTCCACTTAGCCATCATATTAATGCTAACTGCGTTCCTATGCCATGCTCCCCATCTCCATTATCATCCATCAGCTACTAATTTGTACTTCTTTAACCTTTCACCTCATTCTCCCAGCCCCCCAACTCCCCCTCCCTTCTGTCCGTCACCAAATTGTCCACTATATTTTTGAGTCTATTTTGATTAGTTTGTTCTTTTTGTTCCTTAGATTCTATATATAAGTGAAATCATATGGTATTTATCTTTCTAACTTATTTTACTCAGTATAATAACCTCTAGGTCCATCCATGTCGTTGCAAATCGTGATATTTATTTCTTGAACCACATAATGGGGATTAGGCAGATGACGGTTGATGCTCACTGAATAGCCACATGCTCCCCTATACTTCCCAGGGTCCCTTGCGGTTAGATTGGGGCCACATGACTAGTTCTGGCCAATGGGGTATGAATGGAAGTCATTTTCCAGCTGAGGCAGTTAAGAGCCAGAGTACCTCCTCCATCCTCCGCTTCCTTGCAGGGATGGCCCTGGAGGCCACGTACGCCAGGTGGCACAGCTACGAGATGACGGAGGGATGACTGGTTCACATCGGAATCTCATGATTGGCAAATAAACTTATGCTATACTGAGCCACTGAGATCCCAGGGTTTATTTGTCAGTGTAGCATAGCCGATCCTATCCTGACTATCCTGAGGTAGTGGGTATTCACCGCATTATATTCTAAGCCTTGTGCATCTTTGAAATATTTCCTAATACCTTAAAAATCAAAACCCAAATCCACATAGAGCCTATGACAAATGAAGATATGGCAGGCCTACTTGTTTGCTTGGGCCGCCATACTAAATGCCACAGACTAGGTAGCTTAAACAATATGCATTTATTTTTCTCACAATATTAGAAGCTAGAAGTTTGAGATAAAAGCATCAGCAAGTTTGGCTTCTTCTGAGGCCTCTCTCCTTGCCTTGCAGATGGCTGCCTTCTCACTGTGTCCTCACGTGGTCATCCCTCTGTCTGTGTCTTAATTTCTTCTTATCAGGACACCAGTCATACTGGATTAGGACCCTGTCTTAGTCTGTTTGGGGTGCTATAACAAAATGCCACGGACCAGGTGGCTTATAAACAACAGAAACTTATTTCTCACAGCTCTGGAGATGGAAAAGTCCAAGATCGAGGTGCCACCACGGTTGGCTTCTGGCAAAGGCTTTCTCCTGGGGTACAGACTGACAACTTCTCTGTGTCCTCATGTAGTGGAAGAGGCTAGGGAGCTCTCTGGGGTCTCTTTTATAAGAGCATTAATTATTCATGAGGCCCCACCCTCACGACCTCCCAAAGGCCCCACCTGCTAATGCCATCGCATTGGGCATTAGGATTTTGACATATGAATTTTGGAGGAACCCATACATTCAGATCATAGCAGGCCCACCTTAACAAACCCATTCTAACTTCGTTATCTCTTTAAAGGCCTTATGTCCAAATATGATCACATTCTGAGGAGTTTGGGGTTAGGTCTCCACATACAAATTTTTAAGGGACACAGTTTAGCCCATAAGAGGAGGATTAAACTAGGTAATAAGTGAAGGGAAAATCAATAAGGATGACAGTGCAATAGGCACTTCGATGAATATATTTCCAATATCAAAAGAAAAAAATTATCTTGTTTGCTCTTTATTCTAAGACTTAATGTACACGACCAATCATAAGCTGGACTATCAAAACAGAAATTGAAATAAACTTGTGCTCGTGGCTTCATTTCACTTTGTAAGAGAAAGTTCTCTTTTTATTTTTGTTTTTGACAAATAAAAATTGTATACGTTTAAGGTGCATGTAACGTTTTGATATATGTATATGTCATAAAATGAGTACCACAATCAAACTAATTATCAAATCTGTCGCCTCCCATATCTACCATTTTTTTGTGTGGTGAAAGCTTTGAGATCTACTTTCTTAGCAAATTTCAAGTATACGATACAGTATTACTTACTACAGTTGACGGGCCATAGCTTAGGTCTCCAAAACGTATTCATCTCATAACTGGACATGTGCACCCTTCGATCAATGTCTCCCCCTTTCCCCCACGGCCTCTGGTAACCACTGTTCAACTCTCTGCTACTATGGAATCGACCTGTTTTTTAGATTCTATACATATAAGTGAGAGAGAGAATGCGACATTTATCTTTCTGTGTCTAGCTTAGCATAATCAAACCCTTTTCCTTTATTTGCTGTAAAGGTTGGTCTCCATTGCAATCACAAAACGGTGGAGTCCTTAAAATCAAAGGCTCTGGTCCTGGGCTGCTTGGATTTCAATTCTAGATCTGCTACATGCCGTGCACCTTACCTGGCCTCTCTGTGCCTCAGCCTGCTCGAGAGTGAAATAGGCTTTCTAACAGCATCCACTTGACAGAGTGGTTGTGAGGCCTAAATGAATATTTATAGTTAAGTGCTGCGAGCAGGGCCTGGCCCATGGAAAGCCTTTTATGTCAGTGGTTGTTATTACTATATCATGCCCGGTACCCCACTTATTATATTCTATTTGCTAATATTGTTTTTTTTCCCTTTTCTCTTTCCATATCCTAAGTTCTGAGCCTCTCGGGCCTCTCCACTTCCTCTCGGTGCTGCTTTATGCAATTCCAGCACCGCCCTTGAAAAACAGAGGCTGTCCAAACAGCTAGTGAAAGGAATCTCAGCCAGAGAAAAGTGTCCCTCTTCTCCTTGGCCTGCAGAAGAGAAGAAACCACACTGTAGTGTAAACTATCCTTTCGTTATTTCTCACAAAGCAGTTGTGTAATACATCTGATTGCATAGACTGCCGTCAGATATCCCTAAGCCTCTAAGAAGTCTGTAATTCTGATCGGTCGTGTAACTTAAGAATCTGTTGTTCCGGTAATAATACTGAAATGGCTAGCTCTAGCTTCTCAAAGGTATAAATACTGCTAAGCCGTTTTGTCAAGCTAGAGGAGTCACCACCACGTCTTCTTTCTCCTTTGGGCCACGACAAACCTGAAGCCCTTGTGTCGATGGAGCCATAAGATCAAGATTGCCTAGAGAATGGCTACTCTGAAGGGTTGTTCCAGACTTTGTACTAGTGAGAAACTTGTGTTTGGTTAAGCCACTGAGGTTCGGTGGTTGTTACTGCAGCACAGTCTAGCCTAGTCTGAGTCACACACTGAGACTTTGCTAGATTACTTATGTAAACGAAAATTTGAAAATCTGTGCCAGTTTTAACTGGCTTTGCTTTAAGCAGAATTTCCCCAGGTGCCAAGTGCCCTTGTATAAAGATGGCCTCCAGGATGGGGCGAGCGCCTAACCCAGTGACCCTGTCATGCTCATGATAACAGTCCTCCTGGGACTGAGGTTTGAGAGCAGAAACACAGACAAGATGCAGCAGTAGCAGGCTGATGGTGGGGAATGGGGCTTAAGGGTCACGTGCCCAAAGAAACGGTACCTTTATGGGGTCACAGTCTGGCACTCAGATTCACTGGTCTGGAAACTCCATCTTAACAGTGTCCTGTAAGTGAATAAAGGTGGACAGTCTGACTCAGGTTTACTTCACGTGTAAGTGAAAGATAACGGTTAATGTTTATTGAGCATTGGCCAAATAGCCAGAATGTGCTAATTCCATGCATTCGTTCAATAATTATTTACTGAACTTGTTAAGATGTGCCAACCACTGGGGATACAGCAGCAAAGGAAACAAACAGGGGGGTGGGGGGAGACAAGATAATAAACCGATGAGCAACTAACTATTTAATAGTTTAGAGATAGTGCTATAGTAAACGCTCAATAAATATGGATGGAAGAAAGAGGGGTCTCAGAGTGCTAAAGACACCTGTCCAAAAGGTCACATAGCTAGTTCAGGACTAAAACCGAAGGCTCCAACACTCCGGCCAGTCTTTGAAATTCATTCATCCACTTATTTTATTCGACAAATATTTTCTGAACATCTGCTATGTGTTAAGTATTGTGTCCCTCCTGGAAGGTTGTAAGACTAGAACAATAAAAGAGCTAAAGGCTAGACTCCACCTGGGCGCAGGAGGGACAGTTGGTTTAGGTGACCGTGACTTGCCTCGGCTCCGCCCTAAGCAGAAACCAGGAATGACGTGATGCTAAGGCGGGGCGTCGGTCAATTTCCCCATTAGCTCCGCCTGTCTCAGTCGTAGCCACGCCCGACACCAAGAACCAAAAGGGTTTTGGGACCGTTAGGACAGGCCAATTTCGCCGGCGACCAGAAGAAGTTCCTCTCATCCCACACCGCGCCCCCGGGCGTTCCACCTCCCACAAAGGCTCGTGCTGACGTCACAAGCACCACGACCAGAGTGAGGATGGGGCATCAGGAGACCTCCCCCTGCTAAGCCTCGCCTTCCCCTCACCTCTGGACTCGGTGAGCGGAGTGGAGACCAAATATCCGCCGCCAAACCTCGGGTCCACCGCGGGGACGGAGACTCACCTCAGTTGCCCCGCGGAAACTTCCGCTGGGACGGACGGTGCTGCGCGCGCATCCTCTGCCCTGAGGCGGGGCTGCGCCCGCGCAGGCGCTGCTGACCTCTCGACTGGCCCCGGGCTGTGCTTTCCAGGGAACTCCATTTCCCAGACGCCTTCGCGGCAGGCCAGCCCTCCGACAGCGGGTCGGGGCGGGATCATTCCCTCTCGGCCCCACCCCACTGCCATACCCTGTGGAATACGGTCTCGTTCTACTGCGCATGTGTCCACGTGGAACCAATAGTAAGAAGGGATGAACTATGAGGCACCTCTCCGCCAATCAGAAGAGGTTCCATTATTTCTCCGCCTCAACTCCGCCCCCTACTTCCACGCGTTTCTACGGCAACCCCCCGGCGGTCTACTTAAGACAGGGAAGAGCCTCCCTGTCTTCTGGGAGAGTCAGGGGGCGGCTAGTTAGATTGTTCTTCAATAGGGTAAACGCTGGGCTACAACACCCAGTTGGCACCCGGTCCCGACTCTGTTTCTGTTCTGTTTCCCCCCGCGGAGCGCGCAGCAGGACTCCTGAGGCCGAGGAAGCGGATGGAGACGCGAACGCGGCCGCTTAGCCCTCTGGGAAAGGGCGTCTCGGCGCCGGCGCGGAGGACGCTGCGTGGGGAAACGCGAAGGAGGTTTCGCGCGGCACCGGAAGTGGCTGCGGCGCGGCGCGCGTGAGGGGGGTTTCGTGTCCCGCCCCCCGGGCTAGGGTCGCGTCTGTTAACTTGGCAGACGGCAGTCTCGAGGTGAGGAGACACCGGGGCTGCGGTCACTGGGAACTCTAGAGGTTTGGGGGCTCGGTCCTTCCAGAAGGGTGACGGACGGAAGGCTTCTGGGGCGACAGCCGCAGAGGGCGCGTCGTCGTGGGCGGTGGGTCGACGTGGAGTCTTGAGCTCTCGTTCAGAGGCTGCTACGGGCCGGGGCTCCGGCTGAAGTGGTTTCCAGCCCTCATCGGCAGCCTTCGAGAGGAGCGGGCCTGTTTTATTTGGGGGCTGGGGAAACCGAGGCAGGAGGAGCGGGTGTGTCGCCTGAAGCCGTTGACAGAACTGGGCAGGGCGAACGGATGCGGGTTCTTGGAGAGGTCAAAGGATCGAGCGTTTATTTTGAGCGCTTTCGGTGTGGCAGGCGCCGTGCTGTCCTCGCGTTCTCTTCCGTCACCTCCGCAGCATCGGTGACAGATCAGTGTCGCTCCCCGGCCTTACCCGATACCCCTGGCCCCAGAGTCATCTCGGGAACCAGACTTACGGAGATTGATAGGGTTCATGTTTTATAACTGAGCAGCACTCCCGGTGGAATCTGGGGCACTCGAATGTTTCTGTCGGGAAAGGCGTGAAAAGTCACACTGAAGGGAAGAGACTACAGTGACAATTCGGGTTAAGTTTTGCTGCCAGTTTATGAATAAAGCCCTGGTTTATAGAGCATTTTGTTGTTTAGGATTAAAGATAAGGGGTTGTGGATCTGTTTTATTTGCCCCATTTTGTATATATGGAAACTGAGGCACAGAAAGGGCGAATGATCTGGTTATGATCCCACACTAAGAAGAGGCGAGACTCCAGGGCCCAAGGTGGTTCAGCCCTGTAATTGTTTGGCTCAAGTCACTCTGACAGGCTGGGTGACCTTGAGCGTGGTCACATGAAGGTTCCCTCCAGCCCCTTCCCTCCCAGGGCTGAGAGTGTATGAGATAGGGACCGAAGGTGATTTGGAAACTAGACAGATCTCAAGCGCAGATGTTCACGAGGGCCAGGCAGAGCAGGTGAAGGAGAGACACGCGGGGGGCATCAGGCAGCACTTGCCCCATCTTTGAGGGTGGGGGGTTAGTTTTAATCAGCTGCAGCTAACTAGCTCCGTGGGATCGCAGACCCAGCCTGACCCAATTCTCAGATTTTTCAGAAGCTGGAAACTGAATTTTTAGGTGAATTTTCTCAGTTTTCAAGTTTGGGACTACTTAAAATAATTTTCTTTCGGAAACTTCCTATCTGCCGACACTGTGGGTCAAATAAAACGTCTATGGATCAAGTTATACTCATGTGTCTAGATTTAATCTCTGTCACGTGAGAAAAATCATTGTGTTAGCACTTATCAGTCTACTACATTGCCTTAGCTGCAATCACAAAATCTAGAAAGTTCTGAAGACCGTTCTTTTTTTCACTTTGGTGCCCAAACCTGACCAGAACTGCTGTGATTTATAACCTTTCATTATCCGACCTAGAGTGAGTATATTTTACCCTTCACTCTAGAAACACTGACTGTTCGATAACAAAATGCTGTTTGTCCCACACTGCACTGGGGTGTTAATGAAATATGTTGAATAAATGTATATCACCTTTTAAAAATCTGATCATTTCTGAATTTCAAAGCACATCTGGCCTCAGAGGCTTACGAATTGTGGACCTGTGTCATTAAGTCATCCTGCCGCTTCGTGATGTGGAGTGTTTTCAATGCTGCATAGATATATGCTCCTTAGGAAATTCATAGTGGCTACAGATGTGGAATACGCCCTATGGTATAGTGTTTTGCATATTGTGCGTCATGAAAATAAAACTCAGTGGGCAGTCACCATAATTTTTTTCTATGAAGTAAAATAAAAGTGACAAGGATAGTAAACATCCCAGTACGTTCTACCTTGTAAGGTTAAGTATTGTCTCGTGAAGCTTCTGTTTGGTTATATATGTGAACGAGCCGTCGTGATATATATTGTCCTTGTTACCGTGGGTCGTGGTTAAAAAAGAGTTGAACTCCAGCTATTGTAGAAATAACAACAGTTTTGGAGGCCGACTCACCTGGACTCCAATCCTAAAGACGATGGTCTGAAATCTCAGAAGCATTGTCCCAGGGGTTCGGTTAGAGACGTGTGTTCTGTCAACAAATATTTAAAGTACCTGCCAGGCAATGTACTGTGCTAGGACACGGCAGTGAGCAAGACAGAACGTTCCAAATGTGAATCTCCTGACTCAATAAGTACTGAGCATGGTCATTACGCCGTTTTGTAGGCGCCGAAGCACAGTGGAAATGTGGGGCCGGGCCAGTTTCAATAAAGACAGTGTCATGATTCCTGCAGGGAAGCACGTGTTCTGACTCATTCTACTTCTGGACATTTCGAGGGCTCAACCAGCATGGCGAGGAAAGCAGCCCGAGAAGGAAGGAGGACTTCCTCCCAGCCTCTTGGTCCTTCCCACAGCCCTGCCAGCCAGGAATGTGGAGGCGAAGGAGGGGGAGCTTAAACGAGGACTCTGGCTTCGGCTTTAGTCGGCTGTGACTGAGGTGAGTCAAGGGTCCCTCCACCCCAGTGGATCATCCCCAAAGGCTGCACAGCTGGCTGCCTTTGTCCCAGGCTCACTGTCCTGTGGTAGCCCCTGCAACGATCTTCGTAAAGCTCTCACGTTATCACTCCTGCCAGTACTCTTCCAGGAATCTATCTTGTTTCTTGGATAAAATCCAGGTTTCTCAGCCTATTCCTGGGTCCTGTCTCTCTGTCCCCCCAGCCCCACACCGCTTGCTCTTTCCCACAAGTGACACTCCCTTCTTGACGGTGATAAAATGTTACACTATACTCTCCAGCTTCCCAGCCTTTCCTCAGTCTCCTCCCTCTGCTCCCACTTCTCCAAGATAAAGTCCACGGCCACGTCCTTGAGAGTCGCAAATTGCTGAAACACAGCACACCCAGAATACGCTGCCTGCCATCCCCGGCTGGCCTGACACAGGCTTCAAGACCCAGCGCAGTCCCCCAGCCTTCCCAGGCGGAGTCATCTCTGCTCTGGTCTCCCATAGCACCATCTGCTGCTGCCACTGTAGCTCAAAGCCACCCAGGTGTGCTCGCCCCTGCCTGTGTCTGTCAGCCCCACCAGACTAGACACAACTGCCCTTTGGTCGAGTCCTTTCTGTGTGCTAGGAACCAGGCAGGAGCTTCCCAGCAGCATCTGTCACTTTGCAGAGCAGCCCTATGAGATGGGGCCGGAATCGGAGCTCAGAGGGGCCATGTGACTTACGCGCCAGCAGTCACCCACAGGGGAAGGTGGTGGAGCCACGCTCCAAACCCAGATGACAGGCTCAGATTTCATTTTTACTTGAAATGTGTGTGGCTGGAGGTCTGGAAGGAGCACACCAGACAACCGTGGGTTCACCAGGAGGTGAGGTGCTGTCACCAGGAGGTGAGGGGAGGCTGTCACTTTTTATTGTCAATACTTCTCCAGTATTTGAATTTTTATTCTAAACATCTATTCACTGGGAAGTTTTAAAATTAAGAAAGGTGGCTTCACTAAAAGCTGGGCAATCAGGCAGGAACCTCAGGTAGTCACGCATCCCTAAGTGGGCCCAGCAACGCAGATGAGGGCTCCTGCCCCCCAAAGTTGCACTGAATCTCACCAGGTTGCTGCTCTACTGACTAGTCTCCAGGAAACGCAGTGGACAGAGGAGCAGCTGAATGACACCAAGAGAAAGCAGTTTGCCACGTCCAGAACGTGGCACCCTAAATCAGGAACATGGCATGTAAAGGGCGGAGGTGTACGGCTGGAGGTTAACCCCCCGAGGCGCATCACCCCAGTATAGGGCATGGGTCTCCTCGGATTCTGAGCTAAACGAGCCAGCTATAAAAACATACCATGGAACCCAGACCTGTCAAAACCATAGAGACAGAAAGCAGGATGGTGGGGTGCCGGGGCTGGGGGAGGGGGCTGGGGAGTTAGCGTTTAATACAGATAGATTTAGTTTTGCAAGATGAACAGAATTCTGCAGATGGTGGCGATGGTTGCAAAACAATGTGAATGTACCTAATGTCACTGAACTGTATGCTACAAGTCGGTTAAGTTGGAAATTCTTACATATATTTTACCACAATAAAAATAGTTGGAAGAAAAGATGTCAGATAAATCTGAATACAGACTTCGAACATGGCGCATGTGTTTAGTAATAGTAAGGGGTTCCACTGTTACTACTGAAATCAGATGCTACCTGGGATTAACTCTGAAATATTTTAGCCCCCACAAAAAATAAGTAAAGGTGGGGAAAGAGGCTTAATGAACAAAACAGACATGCTGAAAGACACATGTCCTTCTAATGATCTAGCCCAGTGGTTCCCAGCTGGCTGATTCTGCACCCCCGGGGACATTGGCAATGCCTGGTGGTGACCTTTGTGATTGTCGCCACTTTCAGAGGTGGGGGTAATCCTTAAAGTTGTGTCATGGACACCTGGCGGTCTTTTGCATTTATGTATTTACTTGGGTGTATGCTTGAAAGTTTCCATGATAAAAACTTAAAATCTTGAACAAACACTAAAAAAAAAAAAGCCAGAAATAAATGGATTTTAGGATCAGGCAGACCTGGGTTGAAGTCCTGCTTGTGTGACCTTCAGGGGACATCACGTCTCCTCTGCAAGACTCTGTGTTCTTGCTTACAAAATATGGGGCTGCCTGGTCTCAGGTCTGAAGGTTCTCGAGATGAGTTTTTCACAAAGGCCTGGCACGTTGAGGCGGGGGCCGCACTGAGTGAGCTGTGAGGCCCCTTCTTGACCCCAGCACCAGAGTCACTGACTGTGTGTTGTGTTTCAGCAATTTGTGACCCTCAAGGACTTCACCATGGACTTCACCTTGGAAGACTGGGAGCAGCTGGGGCTGGACCAGGGGGACGTGTTCTGGGACACAGCCCTGGACAACTACCAGAACCTCTTCTTGCTGAGTGAGTGTGCGCCCCCGCCCTGCTCGGTGATCACCCGTGACTCCCTGTCACCCACAGGATGAGTTCTCAGCCCCTCAGCACCCCAGAACCAGCATGATCCAGCCCAGTGGTACCCTGCTGGCTGATTCTTCCCCCCAGGGGACATTGGCGATGCCTGGTGGCCTTTTTGATTGTCTCCACTTAGGGTGTGGGGGGGTGCTCCTTGCACCTGGCGATAGAGCCCAGGGATGCTGCCACACATCCCGGAATGCGAGCACAGCCCCGCAACCAGGCGTGAGCCGACCCGCACGTCGGTAGTAACGAGGGGAGAGCCCTAACGGGTCGCGCCTGCTACTCGAGCCTCGGCGGAGCTTCCCACCTTGTCGCTGTAGAGCGAGTCCTCGTGCTGACACAGCGTCTGCGTATTTCTGTCCCGTCTGGTCCCTTCCTTGCCTGAGACTCACATCGCAAGCCCATTCCACTCCCTCCTCCCTCCCCTGCCCAGCTCGTCGCTGCTCCTTCACTTTCTAACTGTCTGGCCGGATGGGGGCGTCCTGAGCCACCGGCGCTGTTCACTGGTGTACCCCAGCATTTGCGATGTGAGTTCCTAAATTAATAAATGAATGAGTAGCAGGAGATGCTATGTCAGGAACCAGGGCCTCTGCCGGATGAGCTGTTAGAACCCCCTCCTTCAATCCTCTCGTCCCCTGTGATGAAGTGTGACTGTCCCTGTTTTACTGCACATTCTTAAACAGGTTCAAAGAGGGGGAGTCATCTTCACAGCTATGTTGGGGTCCCTAGGACCACACCCTGGATTGATGGTTTACTAGGACTTGCGGGCCTCAGCATATAGTCACGCTCATGCCATAAATCATCACAGCGAAAGGACGCGACGCAGTCAGCAGAGGGGAGGAGCATGGGGTGAGGTCTGGGGAGACTAGTGCAGCTTGCGGGGTCCCCTCCAAGTGGAGTCTCACAGGAGACACTAACCCCCATAGTACCAAGGTCTGACAGCGTATGTGAAATGTCTGCCCGGGAAGCTAGCTCGTTCGAGACGCAGCCCCAGGGTTTTTATCGGGGGCTGGTCACGTGCCCCCTCTGCCGGGAACGTGCCAGCATTCCCAGGAGGAAGGCAGTTCAGCAGAACGGTCCGGGCCAGACGGGGGCAGCCGAGACGCCAGTTGTGACCCACGCGACTCCAGGGCCACGGCACCCCAGCTCCACATCACTATCACCTCCTCCCAATCAACTCATTTCCCTTTCTCCAAAGACAAGAAGAATTTATTCCGAAAGATGAAAAATACACGAGCGCACACTGGAAACCACGAGTTGGTGTAATTTTGTCACGTCGGGACAGATTTTCTCCAAACTGGACTCCATGGGCTGCAGAAGCAGCTTAGAGGAGGGCCGAGCCCGGCGTCTTTTCAGTTTTTAAACTCCGGCCACAGTGGAAATGCGTTGCCCTTGATGCCCCTGCGCACATCCGTGTGTGTAAATGAGGACGCCGCAAACGTGGTGGCTTAAAGCGGCGCACTTTTATTCTCTTAGAGTTCTGGAGGGCAGGCGTTCGAAATGGGTCTGACTGGGCTAAAGTCAAGGTGTTGGCAGGGCTCGTTCCTTCTGGAGGCTCCAGGGAGTCTTTTTCCTTGCTCCATTTCAGCTTCTAGAAGCTGCCTGTATTGCTTCCCTCCTGGCCTCTGCCTTTACCTTCCAAGCCAGTGGTGGCCTTTCCTCCACGGTAGCACACATCCCTGGATTCTGACTCTGCTCCTGTCCTTGAGGAAGTTGGCGGAGGGCAGGATGCGGGACTGCTTGGGTCCGGGACCCTGCCATCTCGTACCACAGGCCTGGCCCGTGGAGGCCTCAGGCGGTGTGGTCCGTGGGTGAACGAGAGTGGTGACCGGCTCAGGAAGTACGGGCGTCTCCAACTGGCAGACCGCTCGTTCCCTCCAGCAGTTGCAAGTCCTTCGTGTCCCCAGCCCCAGCCGTCACAGCTCTGATCGCCCTGGATTGTGGCTTTCTGGGTACCTCTCCCCCACTGGATCCGGAGCTGCCTGGCGCAGCGTCTGGCCTGCAGCAGTGTGTGCTAAAGATCAGGTGGTCAGGAGGTGCCGGAAGGTTCCCGCCGAGCGGCTGGGTGGCCCTCCGTATCCTGGCTGATGACAGTGCCGACGACAGTGCCGTTCTCTCCCTGCAGACCCCCCCGGATCCGATCTGCCCTCCCCGCCAGATGTGGCGGAGGAGCCGGAGGCCCTGATGAGAGGAAGTCCAGAAGCGACAGGCCCTGGTGAGTGGGCGGCGCTTGGGGGAGGGCAGTGGGGTCCTGCGGCGTGGCCCCCCGTTCTCGGAACCTCAGTCCAGACCTAGTACTTCTCCCCAACCATCAGGACCTCCGGCGTCTGGGCTTTGCTCTGCCACATGCTGGCTTTTGTCCGCACGTCCCAACAGAGGTTGGGACCCTCACTTCGCATGCCCACCTTGTCTTC